TTTTCTCTGGAAATATCACAAAAATACAAAACCAAGTGAGATGAATAAATACAAATTAAAATATTAGCATTTTAAAAAGTCTTACTGTTTTAATAATTGTAACATTTCATTTTTAACAGACAGTTCTACAAACCAACAACGAGGGGTAAGTAGGTTTATAACTGAACTGTAATGTGAATAGATATTGATGCCAAAATTTATTTTACCAAATAATTTGTCTTTTCTTCATAAAAGGGCAAAGCAGGAGGAGCAGAAGAGGAAGTCGCTTTCAATATGCCAGGTAAGAAGAACATTGTCATTTACTTGAATAATATCGGATAGACAGTTTTTCTGGGCATTGTTCTGAAAAACAGATTTTTCTCTCTAAGGGATGAAATTAAACTGATCTTATTCTGCTTGAGCTGTTCTGGATGTTTCTGTCAATATCTAATCGGTTCGTTGCATTTTTAAATATTCTCTGTACAGTGCAAGAAACCCCAAGCCAAACACCTGGATGAAAATGACTGATTACTGATACGAAATATTGGAAGAAGCAAGCTGGATGATGAGCCTTTGTTTTTACAGTGATCAGAAAAAGCAGCTACAGTTCTACACTTTGCTTCTTCCAGAAGGTCTGGGCTCCTGGCTGTTGAGAAATGATTGTTTCCTGGAAACGTGGACTCTGTTGAAGTTTTCAATTTTACTTAATCACTAACATTTGCACCAGTTTGATGCTAAGAAGTTTACTAGAAATTATTCTACACTGTAAAAAAACAACATCCATCACTGAAAAGAGAGAAGTGCCAAACTGAACGAGGAGGCTGTTAATGTTAATTCAATTCTTGGAAGTGTGACCAACACAGACTGAACAGTTTTGTTCACTTCCTCCGCTGCAAATTGCTAAAACGAGGGGCAGACTGCAATTCTAAAACAGCGCCGAAAATCAGCATTGTTGTTCGTATCTTCTCTTTCTGTTCTCTAATTGGTCCAGTTGAAATTCTACCAGAGACAATCAAAGTGAAGGGAAGAAAGCCCAGACTGTGCAGTAAGGAAGATTTAAATTGAGTGAAATATCTGAAGTTTCTGTGACTTTAACCCAGAATGGAGATAGGTGATGTACAACAAATCATGTCAAATCAAACTTAGTCATTTTATGCAGTTTTGTAAGAAACCTGAGTGCTCTGAACCTCATCAGTGCTTTTATATACCAGTTTTGAGATCATCAAACGCTGAGGCAGCTGCATTTGTACTGAGATTATTTTACATACAGGTGGATTCTATTTACTCATTAGCAGTCATCAGGTAACTTTTGAAGGCAACTAATTGCACTGAGAGTAAAAGGGACTGAATATTTTGCACTTTACTTTTGGTTTTGAATTTTTTTTTTTTGAATCATGTATAATTTTCTTTCCACGTCCCAATTGTATACCACTTTGTGTAGATCTTTCACATTAAATTTCAATAAAATCTATTTTATGTTTGTGGTTGTAAATGTGACGAAATACAGAAAGGTTCCAGGGATATGAATACTTTTGCAGGCCACTGCAATTTAAAAACTTCTGCAATGTTATGTTTTAAGAAAGGACCTCCTTCTTAAAAACCTGGACTCCTGCTTTTCAGCTCCATTGATTATTTCTAGCATGTTTTATGAGAAATAACAAGCAGATTTACTTGGAATTTTGCGACTTCACTGGAGTTCATCTTGAAAGGTTTAAGCTAGAAAGTTACTTTTCTTAAATAAATGTGTTTATCTTTGAAATATGTTTTAACTACATATGTATTTATACACTAAATTGTCAACAGTATTTCCTCACCCATCCAAATGATCAAACTCAGGCATTCCAATCACGTCAACGGCCACACGTGTATAAAATTAAGCATCTAAGCATGCAGACTGATTTTACAAACATTTATGAAAGAATGGGTCGCTCTCAGGAGCTCAGTGAATTCCAGCGAGGAACTGTGAT